AAGAATATGTTGCTTAAAGGAGTATGCTAATATATTCATTATATTGTAATATTAGTAAACATTAGTAAACATTAATAGACAATATGCTAAATAAACGTTTCAGCATTAGATTTTTATAAATTGTAGATAATTATTATATTAATTAATATATATATATATATATTATATATTATATATTATATATTATATTATATTAATTAGATTATTTTAATCTATAAATACAATTACTATTTTCCGAATTCTTGGTCATTCGAAAAATATTTTAAATAGATAATTAAATTGCTCTGTTTTGAAACATATATAATTTAATATAGTTTTTTAAAGAGTGAATTTGATAAAATATAAAGATTAAATTTTTTTTTAAAATTTAAGTAAAAAAAAATTCATGATCATTTTCTAAAAAAAAGAATTATTAAAAGTATTTATGGCACAAAACCATTAATTCAAAAAATATTTTAATTTAATTTCATTAATTTTTTAAACTTAATTTAAATTAAAACATAAAAAAGACCCTTATCTATATTTTATTCTTCTTTTATGTTCTAAAAAAAATTAAAATTGCAATATTTCTTAAATTAATAATACTTTATTATAAATGATTTAATAGATTTTTTTGTAGAATGCAATTGCATCGATTGATGTATTAAAAAGTAGAATTCCAATAATCTGGAATGCTGAGGAATTCCGCAATAACATATATATTGGATTATTGGATTATATCTTTTATACGATCGAAAGAAAAAAAAATAATACCAAAAAAAATCATATTTAGATGATATAAAAATGTTATTTGTTAACAAAAATAAAAAGATATATATAATATAAAATATACAAGGTATCTATTTTAAATATAATGAATTATTTTTAGAAAAAATATTATGAAAGAAATGTTTTATAAATATAAATTGTATAAAGAAATATATCATATAATGTTAATAATTTTTTGTAGATAGACATGTTGAATGTTAACTTTAATTTTTAAAAAAATGTTCATATATTTTTAAATATTAGTCTAAAAACTGAAAAAAATAATCTTTATCTTAGTATTCTTCAATAAATAATTTAATTCGTTTAATTTAAATTCGCATAATAGTTTTCTTATGTAATCACAAATTTTTGAGTGACCGAATATATAAAATATTAATATATTCAAGGAATATCTTTAGAGGATTGATTCTAAAAGAAGAATTGATTCTAAAATAAATACAAAAATTAATAAAAAAAAATGTTGTTTGAGACATATTTATTAAATTATAAGCAATTAAATTTGCATTAGACGAAGCAAGCAAGATCCAGATAAAATGAAACATCTTTATCTTTGTTACATTGCAATCTCGCTTTATATCCACTTTATGTTATATGCAAATTTAAATTGCTTATTTAATAAATTTAATTTAATAAATAAACTTCAATAAATATTTTTCTAGTAATTTTTGTTTTTATTTTTGTTTTTAGAATCAATTCTCTACTAAATATGTTACACTTTGTATATATACAATAAGTAATAATTTTCTCATTTTGAGAAAAATAATATTCGAAACTAATAGAAATATAAATTTAATATTATAATAACTTATAGCACATATATTTTTCCAGATTTGAAAAAATTAACGGAAAATATGAAATAATGTTTACTGTTTTATTTTTTTTTTAATTAACAAAAATATATTATTCTTTTTAATGATTATCATTAGAAAGTTTTTATTAATTATTAATTATTAATTAATATTTTTATTCTAGTAAAAATTTAATAAAATTTTTTAATTTTTATTCAATATAAATTTACAAATTTATTTGAAAATTTAATTTCAAATTAATTTTAATTTCAATGTAAGATATTAATTTCATTATTAATATTATTATAATTGGTAATATTATTATATTGATTTTTCTCAAATAAAACATGTTAAAATATAATTACATTGTATAAATATATATTAAAATCTTTTTTTCAGCAATGAAAATAATTCTGTATATACATAATATCTTTTATAATAGAAAATTTATTTTTGAAATCATATTTAAAGAAAAAAAGATGTACATATTTTCTTGTCCTCTAGATATGTGTAATTCCCTAATGCATTTGTTTGGCCAAGATACGCAAACTGCACGACAAATCTAGCCTTAAATTTGGCAACGAATAGCATGTCATGATTTATGTTAATCTTTGACTGTGGCTAGAACCGTTTCGATAGAATTACAGTGTAGCCAATCCTCTAGAATTAATTGGACAATGGCCTAGAATCAGATTCTGCTGCGTTTCTGAATATGTTAGATACTCCGAAGTGAAATATATTGAGAATAAATCAAAAGTTTATCGATATTTCTGGAAATTTTATATTCGGAAAAATTTAAAGACTTTTAATATAAAATATGAATAGTATTTATACAAATTAAGTTATTGAAGATTTAAAAAAATATTATATTTAAAAAAATAAATGCTTTTTTTTAGAAATATATTTTAGAATATTTTAAATTTCTGACATATTAAAAAACACAATTAAAAAATTAATTTTATAATTTTAATGTTTAATATTTTAATATTTTATAAAAAAATTTAATTTAAAGAAAATGTTAAAAATTGTATCAAGGCAATATTGATTTATTATTTAAAAAGAAAGTTAAATTAAAAATATTATATATTATGTACTATATTGTGTACTATTTTGATTTATTTAAAAAAATAAAATTTTCATATACATAATTGGAATAAAGTAAAATAGTTTTTTATTTTTTTGTAATTTTTTATTTTTTTTTATTAGAATAGACTAGTATATAGACTATATAGTATATAGACTATATATATATAGTATAAATGTAAAATATGGAGTTTTTAAAATGGCTTTTTTTTCTTTTTTCGAAGTTTTATATTCGTTGTAATTATAATAATTTCATTTCTAATATCATTTATATTATTTATTTTTTCTTTTAATAAGTTTAATGTCACATCAATATTATAGATTATTAGCGACTTTTTATTAGCGACAAAAATTTAAGATCAAAAAAAGTTAATTTTAAATTTGGATATTGATTTTATGAATAAATTTATATTTACGAAATAAGAATTATTTCATTTTGAATAATCTTCTTTAATTTATACGAATAAAAAAAAAATAACGTATGAGAAAAAAAGAAACGTATGAAAAAAAAAGTTATAATTTTATCCCAATTATGTATACATAAAATCTATTTTTTGAAATAAATAAAAAATAAACGGATCAAAAAATAGTATATATAATTTTTAATTAAAAATAAGCAAATATATTTGTAAAATTCCTTCTGAAACATAATACATATAATCTTATGTTTATTTTAAAATTTCATTTCTTATATGCATTTCTCTATCGATTCAAATTCAATTGATTTATCTATCTTTTTATCATCTCAGACATCGCTAAATGAAAACTGAATCAAACTCATGTAAATCATGAACTGTATTGGATGTTCGTTGTCCAAGAATTATTGTATCAATGAAAATCGATATTTCACAATTTCCAAAGCATTCTTTGATTGGCGGTTAAGCTAATCTAGAAACCAATAATTTTGTTTTTCGTAACTATCCGACATCAATTCTAATAAAGAAACGAAAAATGACTAGAATCTGAAACAGATCTTATTCCATTGGATTTTTTTACCAATCTACTTTCGAATTTCTCACAACTCATGAGAAATCATTTTGAACTATTTGATGTCCTATCATAAATCTAGCTTAAAATGTTAAATGCTAAAATATAATTGAAAATTGAACTTTTGTTTCACTATATAATATACATATGTGACAATAGGAATTGCTTATTGTATGCTAATAACCAAGTTCAAAGTCTGAAGTCACACGAATATTTTGATGCATACGAAATTCTATCTATAGAATTCGAATAAGTTTTAATGTTAAATCTGGAATTGAAAGCCAGAAATGATTAGCTTCAAAATTTCTCTTTAAAACAATTTATAAAATCATTCTTTTTGCTGAATTATAAGATAATTCTTAATTTATTTATCTCATGGATTAGATTTTAACTATCCGATATTTTTGAATTTTAAAATAAAATTAAAATTTTCATAAAAATTATTAGAATTTTTATTGATAAAACCTGAAAAGATAAGATCTTGTTATAAATAGAATTATATACGTTCGTTTTATTTAAATTATCCACAGTCTATTGTGTTCGTTGTTAAAAAATTTTATTTTAGAAAAGTTGAGAAAAACTTAGAGATTTGAAAGAAATATTGCAAATAAAAAGAAAGTTTATCATCTTAATTTTCATGATCATGTAAGTATATATAAATACATCCATTTCATCTGAATCGAAATATCCTAAAATATAAAAAATATTAATATATTTATATGGATTATTTTAGAAGCTAAAACAAATAAAAAATTGGTATATAAAAATATCGATATATTTATTAAGTACATATTCAGCGATAAGAGTTGCAATTTAAGTTAAGTGTTAGATAAATCAAGATAATAATAAAATGTGACAACAGAACGATCTCATTGCATTCACCTTTTTTTATCTTATTTTATTGATTCGCATTTATATATATATATATATATATATATATATATATACACATATATATGTTTTCTAAGATATTTTTAGGATATTGAAAATTTTAATATCAAATAAAGTTTATTTTGTAGGCGGCACATAGCAATAAAATAATAAAAATAATAATCAAGACCATTTTAGATGTGATCATAAAAACTCAGACAAGTTGTTGACAAGTCTTAGAATCAAATTCTAATTTAATTGCTTTTGCTTTTTCTCATTACTGTATTATTATTCAAATTATTCAAGTTCTTGTCTTTTCTTCTTTGTTCTTTCTTTTTTATCATTGTATTTATTTATTTAATGAATGAAACAAAAAAATTAGCTCACATTTTTATATGAGGAATTGAAAAAAATTGCTTACAGCTAGAATTTAATAAACGCAAATAATCAAAAGAAAAGAAAAATAAAGAAAAGAAGAAAATATTGGCTAAGTGTACAACATACCGTTGCTGTTTCTGCAAATACAGGGCTGTCTGGTTGATTTGTTCTCCAGTTTCACCGGCTGACCTTGACTTGGTAGGAAGGCCTCCCGTTTCTTGCTGGTGGCCTGGACGATCTGGTTGCCAGTTTGGCCTCCCTGTACTACCATTGTGCTCGTAGTCGAGCTCGTAGGGCACGAGGTGCCATTTACGGTGACCGAACATCCGGTAGTCGAACCTGTCGGCGACTGATATTCCTGAAGCAATACTCCTGTCGTCGGTACTACGTTGCCTGTCGAATTCGGTGATGAGAAGCTGTTGATCGTTAGCGTGGGCGCATTCCCGGTTACCAAGGATAGTTGAGGGGAGAAGCTATTCTGATGCAAGCCTCCTATTAGCGTGAAACGTTATGATATCAATAGAGTGATGATTTTCGGTTATAATAGTAAACTATATATTGAATTCAGAGATTGGATGGTTAAAAAAACTTTTTAGCTTAACATGCTTTTTCGGACACTTATCGCCATAGATTTTATGAATTGTTGAATTACCATTCGGATCATTTAATTAAATTTGGACAATTCATAAGTATACACTTGTGATATTTAAATTATTAAAATACAAAGATTATAGAAAATTATATTAAAATACAGATTATAGAAAAGACAAAAATTATAATTTTTTTTGTTATTACAAAAAATTAAAGATATTTAAAATGCTTAAATAATTTTAAATTATCACAAAAATTATTCATTATTATTTTTTTAAAATAAGAATTATGAAATTATATTTATTAATTATGGAATAGATTAATCTCTAATTAGTTAATATATATATTCATAAAAATATATATATTCATTTAAATTGCGTTATTGAAATATATATAAGAAATAATCTTAAAAGATTTTTTAAGATAAATAAATTTCTTTTTAAGCTAATATACGAGTACTTTTGCGATTCATTACATATAAAATCATCTTTTGTCTGATTGTATCAATTAAGAGACATCCTGTATTTTCATAAATATAATTATTTAAATTAATAATAAATTACATCGAATTCAAAAAAATTTCCGAAAGCAAATATAATTAAGAATCAAAGAAGGAGCATATATAAATTCTAAATCCTTAAAATTTCTTAAATCCTTTTTCATATCTGAGAATGTAAGATATTTGAAATTTGAATTTACGTTAATATGTCAGTATAAATACAACCTTAAAACACCCGATAAAATGTTGAATAACTTTGTGTAAACTTCCGCTGATCGAAAATTATTCTAGCATTTATGTGGAATTAGTCAACAATCAAGTATCGATTAAATTCTTTTCGAACTTGAATGCGTAATTTTTCGTTACATCATTTATTAATCAATAAAATTAAATGAGAAAAATTTCATAATTTTGCTATCTCTATAATCATAAAATAAATGAATCGAATAGAGTTTCTTCATTTGCTTCTCATGATTTCAATCTATTACTTATAAAATGATATCTTTTAAAAGTAACATTACATATTGCTAATAGCTGGTTAAAATTTATTTAAAATTTAAATCTTATATATATTAAAGCATCTTCGATATTTTTAAAGCAGTTATAAAAATTTATAATGTTCAAAATCAAACAATTTTAATTTAAATTTGGTAATAATATAATATTAAAGAAAATGAACGTTTGATATCTTTGAGTTATCGATTGGATTCTTTTAATTAAATTTTATTTCAAATTAATAATTATAGAAAACAGATATATAGACGATATATTTCAGACGAAACAAGCTTCATAAATATATTTTTCGTTTTTATTCGTCCATTGATATAGACAAAATTTGTGATACAAACACAAATTATAATAATTTTATAATCTAGAAAAAAATTTTGTTAAATCATTTTTTCTTAATTTTTTCAGAGTCATTATTATTTTTTTATGAAAAAAAATATATATATATTTTTTCGCATTTTGTAGCAGATGAAAAAATATATTTAAAGAAAGAAAGAAAGAGTAAGAATTACTATTTATATCAGAAAATGTATCTTTATTAATGAATATCATTTTGAACACATAACAATAGATGTTATTCTAATAATGTTATTCTAATAATTTATGTTATTCTAATAATTTCATTCAAAAGAATTATATTGTTCGTTTTCAAAATCATCTGAAGATCATTTCATATTTCATTTCATATTTTTTATATTATAGAAAACGAAAGAAGTATTTGTTTGGCTTGGGACTCCATTCAAAAATTTTTAACTTTTAAATATTTAAATTTTTTTTCATTAAAATGTTCTTCATTAAAATTTTAAAATGTTTTTCTTTTTTAAAATTCAGGATGTCATGAATTGTCAATTGAAAATTTTAGTAACTTGAAAATGAAAAAGAAAGAAAAGAACTCATATATATGAGTTTAAAACTATATATATATATAGTTTGATCGTATATATATATATATATATATATAATGAAATATATTTTATATATAATTAACAATAAATATTTACTTTCATAGAAATTTACTTTTATAGAAAATTTGAAATAAAAAAGAAAAATGAAAAAAAGTGTTGCATATTTCTTAAAATAATAATTATATAACAATTATATAACAGCTTATGTGCTGTCATTCTTATTGTAATTTAAAGTAATTTAAAATATTTTCATTATCATATTATATACTTTTATTATAAGTTAATAGAAAGTTAATAATGAGAAGTTGTTCTATTAATCCGGAAATATTTCTAGTAAAACCGAACTTCGGAGATTAATTTTAAAGCCGTATTAAAATTGAAGTTTCTATGCGAAAACCAGACAGATGCAATCCTAATTACAGGCAAAATTAAATTAAATTATTAATAAAAATAAAGTTTTGAATCTGAAGATTTTAACAGAAAAATATTAAAAATGTATTTTATTCAAATAATATGAAATAATATGTATAATATAAAATAAATATATAAAAATAAGAAAAAAATATATAAAAATTTTGATTTTAAATTCCCAAATTTTCAATACGAAATCTTTATTACAAATTTTAATTTTAATTCTATAGTGTTTTAAAATAATATATTATCTCATTTGTATAATTTTTTTTAAATTATTCTATTTTTTTAATCCATCCAATAATAAAAAAAAAAATATTCTTATTTCCTAATTGGACAAAACACTCACCATGATGAAGATGATGAAGACCGGTCAGATTAAGAGTATGCTGGGTGTGCTGCGTATGTTGGGTGTGTTGGGCGTGATGCAAACTTCCTACGTTCACACCAACACCTTGAAGACTGAGCGCCTGTTGACCTGGAGGAGCCAAACTAGCCAAATTCTTGGCCAGCAGCTCGAGCTGCGTTACAGGGACAGGACTGTACGGTGATCCAGGAGGTGGCGTGGGAGCACCCCAAGTGTAGCCACCTACTCCGACCCCAACAGCCGCGGAAAACACGCTTTCTGAAACTACAGAATCCAGCGATTAATCGATCTGCTATTCCAATTCCAAACCTTCTCTAATAGGAATGGGGCACTTTCAGAATCACATAGCCAGTTTGATCCAAGTCAATTATTTGCCCGATAAGATTGTATGTAAAATATGCACAAATTGCGAATTGTTTCTCAGCAATAATAAAAAATCTGTAATTATTTTTGTAGAAAATTTGTATGTTGAATTTTTTTTAAAAAAATAAACAGATTATAGTGAAAGTGAAAATTTAAAAATATTTAAAAACATCTACATTTTGTTTCTGTTTATGTGATTTTATTTGAATTTTAATTAGAATAGAATGGAAATAAGATAGAAGCAATAAAATTAATGAAATACAACTCTTTGTAAATTAAATATACAGTTTAATAGTAAATATTATAAATATTATAATTTTAATTCTTAATATCAAATAATATTTGACTTAATAATAATAATAAATAAAAAACATATTTATTATATAAGAATTATTAATCATTTTTAAGAATTAAATAAATATAAAGTTTAAAAAATAAACAAAAACGTAAAAAGAACATAAGTCATAAGTAACAATAGATATATATGAAATATAATTAAAAATGATAATAATAAATTCCGATTTTGTGTAAATTAATTAATTTAATTAATAATATATTCATATAGCGTATTTATTATACATTATATATCTATATACACTATATCTTTTTGATATTATTTAAATTTATCTAAATTGTAAATATTACAAAATTTTTATACAATATATTAATATATTAAGACATAAATTTTTTTTCTTATTTAAGCATATCATAAGCATAATTTATTTAAATATAATTTTATTATTGAAATTTAAATGATAACAGTTCTCAGATTAAATTTCAAAATTTATCTTCTAATTTGATATCGATTTTTGTAAATTATATTTAATAATATGTTTATAATTTTCGAAAGTACGAAGCAATTTTTTTTAAAGATAGTTTATATTTATTATCTTAAATTTCTTAAATTTATATAATAATAGTAAGTGAAAACAGAAACGTTTTATACAATGTAGTAATGAATGATTTTTTTCAATTATTATCAGTATCAATTATTACATTAAATAAAAAAACATGGCATTACAAGGATAAATCGTTTTCTAATTGTGAAAAAAAAACGATATTTATTTGATCATTTCGAATCTTTCAAATTCAATCTTAATCAAAATATTTTCATAACTTTAAGGAAAAAAGGAAAAAGGAATTAATATTCATATATTTGCAATTTATTTCAATTACTATTTTAAAATACTATTATTACTATGTACTATTATTTTTATTATTTTTTTTTACTAATGTAATATTTTTATTTTTATTCTATATTCTTGTTTTTTAGGTTAGTAAATATAATATATGTCTCGATTCAATTATTTATTTTTTTATTTCATTAAATATAAGATTAAATATTTATTCGAATAATTCCGATATTTTTAATATTATTTACTAACACAATGATATTGACAGCTTGATATTACAGCATATATTAACATATATCAAAGATTTCAAATCTCTACTCTTTAATACATTATGAATTTTCAATATTTAATATTTATGTACAAAATTACTTGAAAATTATAAGACAAATTGGTATCACACCCGTCATCCGATTATAATTGCTTAATCTAAATTAATTTCTAAGTTTAAATATATACAATATACAATATATAATATTTTATTAATAAAATACCATTCTAATAAGACGAAATTGTTTGAAATTATTTTTATTATTTATTTTATTATAATTAAAAACGAATATAATTTTTTCATAAATCTAATACATATATTATAAATTAATTAATTGTAAAATATCGATCCAATATAAAAAGTTTAGAAAAAAAGAATTTTATTTTTTTATTACAAAATTTTTTTATACAAAATTTTTAACTAAAGTTTTCTAAATAAAATTGAATAAAATTAAATTTTAAAAAAAAATATAATTCGTTAATAAAAAATATTTAATTGTAAATAATATTATTAACAAATGCATATTCCCAAATATTAAAATATTAAAATTTATATTGCTTTAAAATGTTATTTTTCTTTTAAATAAATTCAAATCAAATACATATTCATCTATATAAATGCATTTTTATTATTTTCTGATTATTTTAATTTTATATAATAAATTAATTTTATATATTATAATTTTCATTCTTTAATAATTTAATAATTTAAAAGAAAAAAGAACAATAGAATTTTCCAGTTAATCTTAAATCACTCAAACTAAATCATTACATATTCAAATTAATTCATATAGTTCATAAATAATAACGCTAAATCAATATTGCTTAATTCCATTTCACCGCATCAACGCAAAAAGACAGCCAATGAAAGATATTTGCTGCTAACTTTTAAAATCATCAATGAAATTCCGTCGAGTCAGACTCTTTCATTCTTACCAGTAATGCAAAAGACATGATTTTCTCGAACAAATAAAAAAAAAGAAAAAAAAAAGAAACGAAAAAAAAGATAATAAGCGACCAGAAATGCAATTCTAACAATTTGACTTTGACTTCAACTGAGTTTTGATCGTAAATCAACCACTTAGATCTTTTCTCGATAATGTTTGCGTCTTCGTGTCTGCAACCAGCCTAGATTCCGTTATTTTTCATTTATCTTTAGACAGTTACATTTTCTGATTTTCTGAACGATTAGTCCATCCGCACTTATCGTCTCTATATGCTTATATAAATATTAAAGTCAACGTGTGATGCGTATTCCTATAAGCTTATTAAAATTTATCGCATTAGTTCTTTGCTGCTTTCGATAAATATGCAATAAACGACCGGTCAAACGGATAAATGGAAAATCTATGCAAATTCATTTAAATCAAATGCAACACTTGCGCAGAATGTTGAAGAGAAATAGATAGAGGAAGTAGAGGATGAAAATTGAATAAAGGAAAATGAGCGATTTTTTTTTTTCTTTTATTTCTATATTGAATAATTTTTTTGATTTGGAAAGTAAAAAAAAAAACACTTTGAAATGATTCGTTTGGATTCTAGAAGAATCAAAGATTGTTTTATAGTGATTGGATAAAATTTTTACAACTTTCAGCTATTAGATTTGAGAAAAAAAATATTTATAATATGGGGAATTTTTGTATAATGTGAATGAAGTGTTATAGAATGATTGCGTTTTTGAGAAATTTAACTTTTTTATTACTCCTATTCTTAGTTATTTTATTCTTTAATCATTCCTCAATAATTAAGGAATTAAAAGTTACTCTAGACAAATCAACTCCAGTTAGATTATTATGAATATATATTTTTAAATATAAATATGGAATAAAATATATTTAACAGAAATTATATAATACTTCAAAAAAAAAAATAAAAAATCTAGAAAAATAAAAAATTATTAAATCCAACGATAAAAAATGGCAATTCTAATGACGAATTAATTCATTTTTTTTGTTTAGAAGATTAAGGATAAATTTATTAGATATGAAGAAAATTATGTTCAATATTTATTTTATAAATAAGATATATTACAATTGCCAAAAATCGTCAATTTTTAAATAATTATAGAAATATAGAATTTTTTCCACAGAATATTTAACACATTTAACATATTAAACCAGAATTTTTATTTTTTTATTAATTGTAATTATTTAATATATGTTTAAATATTATAATATAAAAGTGATATCTATTCAAATATATATATTGGAAATATTTTTGATATTAAAAAAGAATGCATATGTATAATATATATGTATAATATATATGTATATAATCATTATATTCTTATATTTTTTAGAATTACATAAATTAAAAGAAAACTAAATGTAGCAAAATCTCTTAAGAGGAATAAAATAATTTTGGACTGAATAATGAAAATTTCAAACATATAACTTATAATATTAGATTACAATGCTTACGAATTGAAATTCAAGTAGAATGATAAATTACAGACAAATTTAATTATATAATATAAATAAAAGTAATTTTTTTATAAAAATATAAATATTCCTATATATTATTTTTATTTGATATAATATTTTTATTTGATAAAATAATAATAATATTAATGATAAAAACATATATAATATAATATAATAATTAATATTATATTATATTAATATAATAATATAATAATATTTTTTCCAGTAATTCATATAATCCATATTATTTTTTTTTAAAAATCTCAAGTAATTTCAAAATTGATTTATTTTATTGATTTATTTATTTTCTATGTATTTTAACATTTAGAAATCATTCGACTTGAAAAAAAAATACGAAATAAAAAAGAATTTTAATTACTAAGATATATTAAACTAATTTTATAATATTGTATAAAACAAAAAAGTCTGATATCATGTAAAATTCTATTTTATAAAATAATTTATTTCATTCTATTAATCATCAAATAGATATTTTATCTTAGCAATTCACTGATGATACTTCTGAATGTCTATTATTCACTTACCTGTTCGTTCTGCTAAAAATTCGCAGCGTGAACAAAAAAGATATAAAAATTATTAATAAAAAATATTGTTTTAAACTTATAAACACTTAATTATATGTTCTTCATTTAATTAAAAAAAGAAAAAAATTTATATAATTTTATTTTAAATTAATATGAAATAATAATATGAAAATAATATAAAATGACTGAAATAATTTAATTTTGTCTCGTATCAAAAATTATTTAAAAATAATTCAATCTTAATTTCAAAAAAAATATTATTTTTACTATGCTATTCTTGCAATAAATATATATAATAAAATAATAATTAAAATAATTCATTACTATTTATTTTTATTATTTATTTTTTATTCTGAAACATTTGTTTTATAAAGGAGGATAAAGATTTCTTTTATTTCAAATAAAATCTAAATATAATTCTAACATTTTCACTAAGATGATATTATTTGTAAATATTATTTAGTAAATCCTACAAAAAAAACATGATTGTGTACAACAATCCTAAATTCAAGAAGAAGAAATCATTATCCTTCATAAATCCAAAAACTAAACCCAATAACATTTATCCCCTCCAAAACAAAATCGCGAACCCATTCGATTTTACTTATAGGCTTTCAAATGATCTGCTTGAAAAACATGATGCGAAAGCGCATGCGTTCTCGCCACGCGATGCGAAGTGAACTCTCGCGTGGATTTGAATCGCGGGCAAGGATAATTGAAATCTTGCCCACGGTTCGAGATTCGATTTTAGACAACGGACCAGAACGTTAAGAAGGAATCGAGCCATGTTTTCGAGTCTTATTTCTGCCGGTACACCAGCAACTCATCTCTTTTCTCTTTTGGCAGTTCTTCCTGCAACCAATAAATTTGTCCCGTCTCTCTTTTACTCTTGCTCCCACTTCGAAAATCTCATCGTTTTTTTTTTCGGACACATGATCTTCGCAAACGGCGTTTTGGATTACATCTCGAACAATGAGCTCGTTAAGAGTGAAAGAGATTGGAAAGACGAAATTTGCCATTCTTGTCATCTTGCGACTTTCAGCCTCTTTTCTGTTTATCTTTATCTGTCTCTTTTTCTTGTGATATTTCAGTGCGAAATTCGTGATCTTTCTCCCTTGTGGCGCATGATGAACCAGTCAGGATATAGAGAACGTGCACGTTGCGATGGAATTCTATTTAGCCGAGCATTTTTGTCCCCTTACGCCTGCCCACTATCGGGCCCCTTCATTCACCACCTTTAATTGCATAATTGCGCCATTGTGCGAATTGGGAGGGGCCCCTGTGAAAGGCCAGTCCCGCTGAGGGAGACCTTTCGAAGTGAAAAAAATGCTGAGAGGGCCCCCTCCATGAAATGATTCTCGAAGCTAGGTAGGGATTATCTTAGAAGATTACGATTTTTACTTGGAGGTCAATATGACAATTAATATAATATAATTAGTATAATTTTAATTAGTTGATTTCGAATCTGCTTTTCATTTCTTTTAACAGAGATTCGAATATTGATAATAAAATAGATAATAATGAGATAGAAATTTTATAACTTAAAAATGACAGTTTTTAATAAATTCAGAAAAATTTGAAATGCAGTAAGTATATTAAATATAGTAATAGAGAAAATAATTTTTTTTTATTGCCAAAAGAAGAATTCATATAGCTGATTACTGAAACTTGTAAAAAGTGAATTTTCATATAATTATGATTATTTAAATAAACTTATTTTTAATTGAGAGATTTTTATCTTTTTGTAATATATAATAGTTCCAAAATATATATTCTAGAATACAAAAAAGTTAGATATGCTATTTTATATATTAATTTTTATATATATATTTTATATATATTTATATATATATTAATTTTTATTTTATATATTAATTTTTTCGATAATCAATTATTTGAATAATTAAATTTTAAATAATTTATATTCGGATAATCGATATTCCATTGTATATATATATATATATATATTTATATTTATATATATTATATATATAAATTTTATATATATATATATTTTAATATTATATATACATATATAAATATTTACAAATATATATATATATATTTGTAAATATTTAAAATATTATATTAAATTATAAAATCTATAATGTTGTACTAAATATTATAGTAAAAATTTTCAAAATAGATACACAGATATTATAATTCATAATATAAAAAATTTGAACTTTAAATATTTACTGTAAAATGTTATTTTGTTCTGATAAAAAATTTATTTATCAAAATTTATCTTTTCAATTCAATATATTTTAATTTCATTTTCTATAAAATGTAATATAATTAAAAAAATTAATGAAATACAAACATCAAATGGTATATAGTTAGTATAAAAATAAGGTATCTAAATTTAAAATATTGAATCATATAAAAAAAATGTTAAAATATAAAAAATTTAAATGAATGCTTAATTATTTTTTAATATTTTTTTTTCAGTTTTTTTTTCTTCCTTGAAAGAACCTTCCTTGAAATACAATAAAAAAATTATTTTCTTGTATTCATTAAATGAGTTTTATATATTTACTATGTTTAACAATCTAGATATATCTTTACTTTTTCACATACTAATTATCTCATCGCAAAAATAGAACGTTTTACAATTTCTTCAAAATAAAATAAATTTCAAAATAATAAATAAAAATAAGAAGCAATATAGATGCAAAAGTAAAATATAAAAGACTTTTATTTAAAACATCTTATCTAATTTATAAAAATTTATAAAATTTAATTAATTCTATTATCATCCATGATAAAAAAATTATTTCTGGAATTTATTTTTTTAACATACATCTTATATTTGAATAATTTGCTTTATACATGTATGTTTTATTTTTTTTTTAGAAATATTTTTTATAATAATGTTTAGAAATATTTTTTTAGTTCATTTTTGTTATGTCAATTTATATAAATATTTTATATGTGCAAATGAAAGTATTTATTTTTAAGAATTATAATATAACTTTATATATATCAATATAAATAATATTTTGTTTCTCAAATAATGAAACAAATTAATAATAATAATAATATATAATAATTTATAATAATTATAATATAATTACTTATAATTAATTAATAATAAATATAATATAATTAATATTAATATAATATAATAATTATATAATATAAAATTATATTATTATATAAAAATATAATAATTAATATTATATAATTGTATAAAATATATAATAATAATAATAATAATATATAATAATTTATAATAATTATAATATATTTACATAATAATTATATAATAATTAATATTACATAATTAATTTATATTATTATTTATATTATTATAATATAAATAATATTATATATAATAATATATTTAATAATAATATTAAAAGTAATAATGAAATTAATAAGATAAATTATAAATAAAAATAAGAAATCGCAATGTTTTTACTGCAATAATTTTGAAAATTAATATTAATATAATAACATTTGATAATGCAAGCACTAATTATTGGAATTAATTTTATATATTCTAACATGATCATTAATATAACAATATTACAATATTACATAAAAATATTTTATAATTATCAATAAATCAGCGTCAACTAACAAAGAAATTTCATTAAAACGCTATGTTAATATTTAATCGTAATAATTAAAATTTTGCAATGACTCAAATGTATCGAATTTGTTTTGTTTAATTATATTATAATTAATATAATTTTCATAATCAATATGATAAATATTTAAAAAAATTTATTAAAAAATTTTTCTTCGTGTAAAATATAATAAAATTATATAAAATATAATTATATAAAATTATTATATAAAAAAAATAATAATTATATAAAAATTATATAAATTATAACAAACAGAAATATTTCGATATTCAACTTGAACATATTAAAATTCATTTTTTAACTATAGGATTTTTATGTATTTAAGTATCTATGAATTAAAAAATTAAAATTACATGTAATTATTATATATATATATATAATATATTCATTTTTAAACTATAGGATTTTTATGTATTTAAGTATCTATGAATTAAAAAATTAAAATTACATGTAATTATTATATATATATATATATAATAATTACATGTAATTTTAATTATAATTAAATATATATATATATATACTCGATTCTATTATATATTTTTATATATCTATAATTATTATATATAAATTTTTCATTTCGTAAGATAAATAAATTTTAACAAATAAAACAAGGTACTTCATATTTATTTATTCACATTATTTGTTTTGAAATTAAATTTTCTAAAATTTTTTAAAATAAAGGAAAATTTGTATCCCAATCACATATACACGAATCAAGTAGGACACAATCAAAGAAACAGTTAAAGAGAAATATCTTCCTGTAGCAAAATTCAAAATGAGCAAAAAATGAAGACAATGACCTCGCGAATTTGCACAATTGAAACTACGTTTCCTTCGATTAACCTTCTACCCTAATTTCCTCTCAAAATTTTCCATTATTCGTATTATTCGTAAGCAGCTGCAGCAGGTGATGCGCGGTCCGACAATCATTAATGTCCTGTGAATATTATTTCATTTAGATCACATCTCTCGTCGGACAAATTATTACCACGCATGTGTTTCAAGAGTCTCGCATCTCCCGAGGCTTCTATACAAGCATCGACGTATCGAGGCTACAGCTGGCCTTCCCGCCACTCAAATTTATTTCCTCGGAAACGATCGATCTTTTCATTTCGCATTGCGATAGAGACGCCCGCATTCGCTTAATAGTTATTGATTTTCTCACTTTTTAATCGATCCTGATATTGTATATTAAAAGAGAATCGTCTATCGATCAACTCTATTTTTCATTTTCTCCATTAAATATTAACGTTTTTTTTTAAACAATTAATATAATATGTTATATAAATGGGGGAAGTAAAAATTCATCAGTATTGGACAATTATGGGACTAAAGAGTAATAGGTTAAAAGATTGATGATTTTTCTTAATTTTCAAGTTATTCTGTATTTAAATATTTATTTGAAAATTCATA